AAAATCATTTTGGCAGATTAGTGTAGGTTGAAGTCGATCTACTCATTGAACGTTCATCAGCAATCAATTTCAATTGTCCAACAATGGCGGCTGTGACTTCAATTGCTGTTAATTCCTCCTATAATTCTTTAGTAGTAAGTAATTTGTGAGTCTGGCTGTCGGTAGCTTTTAGCAATTTGCTGTCTCTGTCACGTAAATGGAATGGCGAATAGAACTCTTTCTCTTTCTCTTTGTTATACCAAAAAAAGACCGGCCAGAGCCTCGCACGGTTGCAGCGTTGATACTTACCCACTCTTTTCCACAATCACATTACTTACTCATTACAAAAACCGCATCACAATCCGTTGCGTAGTTTTGAAGATTTAAGCATACATAGGGACAGAAAAAGCAACTTTGTTTGATACTATGACGTGATTGTCCGGTTTTCATAGGGATACTAATGTGCATGTGCCTCTTGCAACGTTCGAATGTTTGAAAGCCATTATTGCATTCCATCCCTTTGCATTTATTTTTTCTTAGAATGAAAATATCTACATGCAAGGAGGTAAAGTGTATATAAAATTCAGATTCATAAGTGTGAATAGATGTCATATGAGTAGACTATCAATACATGCGAAGGCTTTGATAATCTAGGAATGAAGCCAATATATCGATGAAGTGCGAAATTATAATTTATTCATTGCGGATAAAACTTTCATCTACATATGATATTCATTTATGCAGAAAAGTTCAATTACCGAAGCCATGATTTCCTCCAAGTGAATAGGTGCATAGTACTGGAAATCGATTTTAATAAACATTAATAATATTTCAATGGATATTGCTAGTTGTAAACCCGGCAAATTATCCTCAATCCAGAAAGTTATTGAGTACATTAAGAAAGTAGCAGCTTGTAAAGCAGTCAAATAAAAATCAATTTATATTAACGCGAATTAGTTATATAAAAAAAACTTAAATAAGTTAGGTTTTATTTGTTAGTTCGAAGATAAACTAGGTCTAATCGAACGATGGTCAAATAAAGTAATTCTATTAACAATAAAAACAATCAACGCAATGAACTGAAAAGATAAGTGTAAAACAGCCTAAACTCTTCGTTCACGACAATTCAAATTGTTTCAAGTCACTTTTTGTCCCAATCTCAATCAGTGTTATATCCAATTTTAACACCTTAATATACAGTCTATTAAAGTTATTTTTGCTTTTAAAGAGAAAGTAGCCGGTACCTTAAAAGCCTTTTCATGTTATGTACAAAAATAAACTTTGCACGTGAAATTATTGCCAGAATTATACGTCGGTAACACGGAAACTCTATAACTTTAGTCCTAACCAAGTATACCGGCGCAACACAAGTTTCGACACTGAACAAATTGAACTGTTGCTTTAATCTGTCGAGCTGTAGTGAAATCTGACGAGAACCGGGTCGATATCATGCAATTGTAAGCGCATCACTCCGGCCGTTCTGATTGACAACCGGCGTGACGTATCGACGGCGTCACACTTTCCGACCGCGACCAATACTCGAATTAATAACTTGACTGTGCCGAGCAAAATATGAAACAAATTGAAATGTTTCCCATTGAGTGCGAGCACGTCGCGAGTGTTGGCCGATGTCGCCATTTCACAATTAGATCCGGAAGAATCTCACCTGCGCTAAACCACGAGCCGTCACTAATGCTCGTAGCTGCAATTGTTCAACAAATTGACAAAAAATTCGTTTAAATAAAAGCCTTTCCTCCTATAAATAACAGTACCGTAATCGCTTAGAAACGTTTTGGTTGTCGTATCAAACAAACATCAAACAAAACCACATTACAAAATAAGCAAATGAACAGTTTGGGTATTTGTAGCACATTCGCGGCAGTAAACCGTGGTCCGTGTATGTAAGTGGCTTCATTTGACAATAATAACGCAATAAATTGTATAGCATCGTGAACAAATGAAATGCTCTCGTTGCGTTTCCGGCACAAATGCACCAGTTGATCGAACAATACCGTCGTTGTTTTATATGAAATCATGCGAATACGGCACAATGATTTATTATACAAAACACTCCCACGTATGGTAACGTGCGAGACGTAAAAAGTGGGATGAGCATTCAATTGTATCGGTTTGTTCGAGTTTACTGATCTCCTGAACGCGATGTACGGAGAAGAATCTAGAGAACGCCAGGGTTGCATTGTAACTATTGCAGAATTTTATTTGTAATCTACGCAAATGATGCAACTTTATTTTTGCAATTGACTGCATATCGTTACTTCTTAAAATTCAACAGTTTCTAGGAAGTAATTTTAAATTGAAATTTACTTCAATAGCATTTTTTTGTAATATTTAATTTACCGAAGATGTGGATGTAATTGGTTCCAAGTAACACGAATGGTACCATATTGTGATTAAGGTTACATATTGCAAAATTGATTAGAAGAATGTTGATCGGCAACCCTGCGTCTGCCACAGTCCGATGCGGTTCTTATAACGGCAATTATTTGTTTACGCAACTCATACGTGTTAGCGTCGAGGAGCCGGTAAATTGCACTTATCTTATTTATTACTCGAGTCAAGGTCATAAGTATGGTGTATGGAGTCTTACACTCGTGTACTTCTATCAACAAACCACAATCAATCGTTTGTTAATTTTTGTGGGGCATTGTTAACGTTTTATCGGCATCTCTATTCCACCAATTAAACTGCAATGGCGATTATACAATTAATAAAATTGCTCTTTCTGTATTCACTATTTTATTTTCGTCTTTTGTAAAGATAAGTGTTCATGCCAATTATAATTAGGAAGGTAAAATTCTCAATTATAGGTACGTATTTATTATTTTTAATTACATTTGTTTTTCGTTTAGTAATTGAGGAATATCGTGTTGGTAGCATATTACCTACTTACATTAAGTTTACTTCCTCCTGCTTTATGAAATCTATTACGAAAAAACTTAAATGATTAATATTAAGTACTTACAGCAAAGTTATTTAACAAATCGGGTGTTTTTTTTCTACATAGAAAAATTATGACATCCTACGCGAGATCATATGTAATTACATAATAAATTCAAAAATAATAAGTAAAAAATATAAAATGAATTTCAAAACTGAAAACAAAATTCATATTTTTTTTTTGCAAATACATATGAGGCATAATACCTAACGTTGTTGAATGATAATTGCATGAATAAACAGGAAACAGTCCTATAAGTATGCTAATCAAAGGTATAAAACGGTTATCTAATATTTGTTCTAAGTATTTTGCAATAGTTAGAACAAAATGGTGTAATTAATTAAGTATTAATGACTGCTTTTAACATCGAAATCATCGCCAAAGACATAAAAGACGAAATGAATAAATATTCGCAAAGATTTTTATGTAATAACTGGAAATGTACTAACCTAAAACAGCCTGACCCGACCTCAAAAAGTAGCACAATTTCCTGTGCGTGCTAAATAAAAAAAATCTTTTTACATGAAAATGGGAAATTCAGTTCATGTTTTATCACGTTTGCGTACAACAAAGTAGGCAGTAGCAATAATATCAATTTTTGTAAAGACATATTTACAAGTGTACATTACGTATCAATAGATAATATTGTGTATTTTTTCATTATCAGGTTTTGAGTGACGATAAAACACGCCTACATAGAGGTCATCAAATTGAAGTTAAAGACGCTTTTTTATCTCCCTCAGGAAACACAAACAACATGAAGCCACATCCTAGCGATTCGCAAAAGAAACTCGAAGCTGTGAAAGATATTATAAAAAATGCATAAGTTCAACATAAACAATGGGGATAACTTATGATCTCTGGTTCAATGAAAAGACATTTTTAAAGACATTTTTCATGAAAAGACATGTTCCGAAATTTATAAGAACTTATTCTTCTGAAATCTAATATTGATCATAATCAAGAATTGTTTGATTGTTTTGTTCAAGAACGATTTAAAAATGTTTTGTAAAAAAAATATAACTGGGTTTAAGACCGCAAAAACAACACAGTTTGTCACAACACTGTAATTTAGGTAAATGCATTAGATTTTTTTAAATTTAATAATGGAACAACATTGTAATTGGTACCTAAAAATTGTGATCGCAAGTAGAATAGTGTTGGTATGTTAGTACCTATAAGTATTCATAAATACTGTTTGTTGATGTTTTGGATTTGCAGGTCATACCTATCTATAAATAATGACTAAGAATTGACTTTACTGGTGGATTATTTGATACTTATATCCTAACAAATATAATCAATGCTTAAGTAAGTACGTTTATTTGTATTCTTCACCTTCCCAATGAATGTTCTTGAAATTTGAATTGAATCACAAATTACACATTACATTTGGGAATTCGGAGAATTATGATTAAATTCACGTGGACGAAACCGCTGTTATAAACTAGGTTTCTATGTATATCTATGATTAATATAAGATAGACATAGGCTTAAAATGACTAAGCAAATATCCTAGAAAACAAATTAAAAATAAATAAATTATTACGTTAATGACTTTTTGATTAAAACTTGGATAAAAATAACGTTGTTTTATTCTGTTGTTAAGTCTATACATATACATATATAACATAAAAGATAATTCAATAGCTCATACTGAGCTATTGAATTATCTTTATTAAGATTTCGAAAATGTTAGTGATTTTTTATGTAAATATTAATGTGAAAACTCATAGATTTTATTGCAAAAGATTTATATGTGAAATGTCTTAAACTACATTAATATTCATTTATACGAGACAGTGTAAATTTCTTGGACGTGAGAAATCCTTTAGTCTTGCTAGTTGCTTCTTATTATGAATAATAAGCAGGTATTATGACAAATTAAATCTTCACAAACAAATATTATAAAAACACAAAAAGAAAAAGCACTTAAATATTTCATGGATAAGAAATTTTAAGTGAAACCTATTTGATATTATTTTACAATTCTCAATTTCTCCAGCGAAAACAAGTGACAATAAATTATGTATTTCCAAATAAGTAAACAACACTAACTTACCCGCTAAAAACAATATCGGAACGGCAAATCCGTTGTATCCTTATGTGGTAAATAAATGGTCCATATAAGATCAATAACACATTCACTTTCGGAATTATTTATAACTTTATTGTTCGAAGTATTAAGTTGCCGGCATTTTCACGAGAGGAACGCTCAGCAGGCGCGCGGTGTCGCGGTTAGACGCATGTGAAATCAGCTGTGGCTTCGTCGCTGCTAACGGAACGCCCCCCACCTCCCCACCCCGCATACTACAGATAACCACCAGATAAGATTATCATGTTTATTTACAAACCCATGTACTGGCCGAAATTGCACCTGCGTGGGAACATGGCGCCCAGTAACCCGCGATTTTTCCTTCCATCCTTATCAATTCCGATAAACAATAAGAAATTCGTGCTAAATGCGTGACTCAATTACGAAATTGAAGTTTGGATCACAGTAAAAAGGTTCATTCACATCGATAGCGGCTATTATTTTATTGAAAATACATAGATATAGAACACGCCATTTTTACCATACCATAGTACATTTTCTTTATTATATAGCACGAGCAATTTGCAATATTATTCCAGACGGACTTTAAACGTCATGTATAATGTTTCCCTGTTAAAATAATACTATTAATTATTGTCGCTGTTAGTCCACAGCTAAGATTATAGCCCAGAGTGAGTTTCTTAACACATACATATTGTCACAAACTTTCCCCACAACATTTGTACATTGGAAACTAAAAATAACTTTATAAGTATCGTTTTTATTACACTTTATCTAGTTTAAGTTAATTTATGCGTCCCGGTTCAGATTATTTAAATATCTATTATATTTATTGTCGAATTAAAACTGCATATAGAAAACAGATTGCATATTTCCCTTGTGCGTTAGATAACTTTTTGTTATTATAATGTCTAGAAATAATAACTTGTTATGAGCATCAATTTTATATTAATAATTATAGAAATGTTACTAGTCCATATATCGATAGGACCTAGATTTTAATGTTAATCACGTCAATATTAATTTAGATAATCTCTTTAAAATCACATCACATAAAAAAAGCTTGCATAAGAAATATGAATCTTAAGTTTTACCGGCATCAACTGTTAAGACTGATTTACATCAAAATAATTATAGTTGTATAATTGATTAATTGAAATGTGTGACAGAATTAATGTAATTTAATAAAATAAAGCATTAATCATATATAGTGCTTATAGCATTTCAATAGTTTTTTTAATATTTTCCATCGATCACTAATAAAGAACTAGTGATCGATGTATTTTTCCAACTTTGAGATTGCATTTGATAAATATATTAAAATAAATAAACTTTATCTTTTGCGTTTTTTACACCTAAGTACGGGTATGTACAGTTATCTATAGATACGTTATTAAGTTTTTATGTAGGTAAAATAATAGTCATTGACTTGGTATAGAGACAGAGGCTATTTTTACACAAAATTATACGGTTGTTGGATGAAGCGAAATCTTTAGCAAACATTGGTCGTAGCAACCAACTATAGGTTAACGTCTAGGTATGTGTGTATTGAACCAATCTTTATTTTGGTACCTGCATACATAATAACTGTCCATAATGTTTCTATAGCCCAACGTTTGACAAAAAAAAAAAACAGTACCTATTAGTCAAATGACCTTCATTAATTAAGGTCGCAGTGAGTGGGTCTCTAGATCCCGACAGATTCTAACTGGCCAACTTGGAAGTCATTAAGGTAGGTAAGCAAACTTTGTGTAGAAGTATTTTATTTAAATACATAGTATTGTATAAGGTATTGTTTTTAACAAACCAAAACAAATATGTACCAAAGAAATCGCACTGCGAACCTAGAATGTTTTTATATTCTCAGCATGAATTACTTTCTCTAGAAAGACTCTACAAGGATTTAAATACATTCATTCAAATACAGAAAATATTTTAATTCCAGTGTTTACGAATAGTAGAGAAAAGCGTTTAACATACATACTTATTATGTATCAATACATCTACTAGGTAGGTATATTATGCAAAATCACATTTACAACACATATCTGCATATCAATAAATATTTTTTTAAAGACGACGCAAAACAGTGTATGTCGTTTGCAAAATTACTGAAAATGTGAACGACTTCATCTATGCGACACATTACTCTGGACAAGTACTCCATTGATAATATTTCTCCCCTACAACATCTTAACACCACAACCCTTTTAATCATCGAAGGGGTCAACAACATTAAATTGGTCTACAAACATTTTTACCACTAATATGATACTTCTTTTTTCATTTTTTATTTTATGGTTTTAGGTCATCAGACGTGCAGCCGGATTACCTGATGCTAGCCAATCAGCGCAGCCCATAGACATCCGTAGCACCAAAGGAGTTACGAGTACCTACGTTGCCGTACTTTTAGGGATAAGGGTTTCGGATATTTAAGGAAGGCATGGGGGGAGGGTAGGAATTGGGCATCCGGTAACCTCAATGGCGAAACACAATGCTGTGACTGTTTCACGACGATTTTCTGTGAGGCCCTGGTATCACTCCAGCCGAGCCGACCTATTCGGGCCAAGCTTGCCTCTCCCACACTTACTATGCTGCTCACAATTTCAGAGTTTATACTATTATTATAATATATTCTTTGACGAAAATCTGACCACAGACATCTTGCACTTCATTAGTGTTTTACCACTTTGTTTTTTCGTAGATTTTAATCCTAAATATTATTTTTGTCTAATAGATCGAGTAGCATGACTTGTAACTTGTATGTGTGAGGTCACAGAACCGATGAAGACCCTGCGTCCTTTTATTTAATGCTATAAGTAATTAGATATAGAATAAGATCCATAAAAAATATCTGCCTAATAGACCTACATAATTTTGAGGGAATAAATCTTTAAATTGTTTATCTGTGTCTCTTTGTGGCTAAGAAACCCCCCGCTCTTTCACCTTTTCCAGACCGAATGCCGTGGTGTGTTATTGTGGTTGACCCAGAACCCTAGTTGAATTGTCTAATATACCTGTGACCTGTATTTTTATACCATCGATAAATGATATTTTGATATCACCACCTAATCTTTTCCAATCCTTTCATTCGTTTCCGTCATCTGTTGAACGGTTTACCATTAACTGTTACTGTGAGAATGTATTCACATTTACGCATAAACAAAGTCACTAGCAATTGGCAATGTAACTAAAATAAACACGTTACTTTCCAAATAAACCTACTTCAGAACCATTCAATCCACCATTGTCAAGATATGGTCCTCGATTTAAATTGTTGTTACAAATCGATTCATCGTTTGATTAAATGACAGTCGATTGTTAACTCGATTTAATCGAATAATCGGAACTATGTGATTCGGGTTTATGTTCGATGTTAATGTTTTGTTGCGAAAATCAATAAATATAACCGCTCTTTTGAGAGGTGGTATGCGAAGTTGCAGTATAGGTAATCCTCTTTCAGTCACTTAAGAAATTTTTGATTTAAGCTAAGTCGGTTACTAAACTGTGAAAAATTTATAAATTATTGATAGGTTGATTTCCTTTTATTTACCGTGACATTAGAAACCGGGTTGTGGGTGCAAGCTCAATGATTTATGATGGCCCAACTTGCAACAGCAGCAGGAACGTAGTAGTTTTTATTCAATAAGTGTCTAACACTATTTCTGGGCCCAGGCCTCAGTGTGGTCAACCGGGGCTAAGCGCAATGAGGCACCGCAACCTCGGCCCAGAGCAGGAAAAGGAACGGGGGGTTTTTAGTAAGTAAGAGTCTGACACTCCCTCCTGCCCGGCCCTGGGCGGGAGAAGTCATTTGATGATTTTCCCCTCACAAAAAACAATCCTCAGGGTGGTAGAACAAAATACATACAGAATATAGTAATTATCAAATGTACCGCCAACTTTCACCCCAGATATGTCCAGAGTACCTACGGATGAGTTGCATTATAAATCAAAGCTTTTTATTTAAATTGTTGAGTTGTTCAGATTAAAAAAAGAAATTATAGTTTTATGTAATAATCTATCCTTAAGCATCACCTTTTAAAATATTCCAAGATATTTTTAGAGTCCTAAAAATACTTTACTACTCTATACGAATATCTACTTCCTATATTGGATCTTTTACAACTCATGTCTATGCAAAAGTAACTTAAAAATGTCAATATTACACAATATTAGATCCACATCTGACATCTACTAATAAGGTATTAAGAAGCATTGAGTCCATAAACGGTCTTCGCGATGGTCTAGATTTCCCTACAGTATTTTAAACTAGTCCCGTGCAACAAACATACTAAATATCTGACGCAATATCGGTGGCACTTTGATATTATCTTGCCTTTACCAAAGTAAACGCAGTCGTGAGGCAAATGTCGCTAGAATTGGCTTGGGACATGAAGGCAAAAGCCGGAGTCCTTTTTCGGTACCGCCGTCCTATCAAACTAACGGAACATAGCTAACATTGTCAAATGTGATTTATTCTAATAACCTTATGTGGTTAGAAATTGGATTACAAATCAATAATGAGATGAACTCATTTTAAATTTATCATTCGTGTTTGCAAACCTATCTAGGTACTTGTCCCTTCGCTGGATTTCTAAACTAGTATCAGAAATTTCTCCAGTCCCATTCAAACGAGTAACCGCATTCCATTTTAATATGGTTACAATAAATGCCGCTGGAAGTGTTGCAATACGTTGCAAACTAATTTACATCACCGATGACATCATTTTAGGTGTTCTCTCAGTAGAGCGTGAATCATTAAATTGAAATTTCATTTTGTCAGGAAACAAAACAAAACATAAACACTACAACTGGCTTGCATGATTTCCATCGTTCTTTGTACGTTTTAATTAGAATTGCAGTGGCTTTAGTTCAGAACCACACAAAGAGCACTAAAAAGGTTTTTGTTGCGTCGCCTGCGGCTGAGATGTTATCTGAGAAGTCACCTTGATCTTTGCACGAAACTGCACAGAACACACCGCTTGACCTCCAGCGCCGCCGGCTCCTTTCAGTTCAGCCGTGTGTACAAAACTTCTTAGGCACAAATACGAGTACTATTGATTATTTGATAGTAAGCCTTGGTCCATTCAAGAAATGAGTCACGGTCCCCTGTCAATATCACGACTATGAAATATTTATTTATGCCCATTTAAACACACAAAAAAATATACGCAAGGGTCAAATCAATCATCGTAGAACCAAGTGGTCTCGAT